TAGTCGTTGAGATTATTTTTGTAAGCATTGACACTCAACATATACCACACATTAAAATATACAATAATGGACATAATACATCATAAAATTTTTAAAATTTATTGTAAAATAGTAAAACTTGGTTGCTGGCATGTTTTACTGGTGTATATTAACTCATACAGAGAATGGAAAGTAAAAACACTGTAATTAATATGTAATTAGGTGTAATTGATGTTATCTTTCTTTACAAGAAATACTAGAGGCCCTTCTTAGGTGACTATGCTTTTTAAACCTGTCTTAATGGTATGCAACATATTATACATAGAGGTATAATTTTTGTACAGGTAAATATTTATTTTATTTTTGGTGTTTTTCTAGTAAATAACAATAAATGTTACTTAATTTGTCTATGTCGGACTTTTTGTTGATGCAAGATGTGCTAGATTTTATGAAACACATTTCCAAAAAAACACGTTTTGAATGGCTTTGGCCAAAATATAGGAATCATCGAAATTGAATTCATGTTTTAGAGTTAGTGCATGTTCTGTCAAACTGTGTTGTTTGTTTATATCGACAGTCACTAATATCCAGTATTTCTTATATAATATATATATATATATATATATATATATATATATATATACTGGTTGTTCTGTATCCCTACATCTTTGAACCAGGACCTGCAAACTTAGTAATGTTTCTCTAGTTCCGAGGTTGTTTCTGAAACCAAGCTGTCTTTCGCTTAGTTATACTTCTATTTTGTTGTAAATTCTTGAGCGCAGTATTCTTAAGAAAATTTTCAGTACATGGTTCCTTATACTAATAGTGCGATGATCGCTATATTTTTTTTGTATGATTACAAATGTTGACAGTAGCCAGTCTGTTGGTATATGCCCTATTTCGTATATTTTATTGAAGAGGTTTGTTTGTCTTTATTATTGAGTAGTTTGATTATTTCGCTGGGAATTTCATCTGGACCCAGTTGCTTTCCTTTTCTTTAACCGTTGTATAGCTCTTTCCATTTCATCGAAGGTCATGTTTCGATCACTCGATATATTTTTGATTTGTATTTCTATTCTTTCATCATCAAACAATTCCTTAATATATTCCCTTTACCTCTCCAGTTTGTCTTGTTCATTGACTATGATACTTCCTTATTTATCAAGTAAACTACTTGAAGTTTACCTATATGGTCAAGTTGTTTCTTGCATCTTCTTGTACCTATTAAATGTGTCATTATTTTTCTGTAGTTCTTCTATTTCAATACATTTGCTGCAGACCATTTTTCTTTTGCAGCCTGGATTTTTCTTCTAAATTCTTTATCGATTTTGTCGTATTCTTTAGTGTTTTTGAACCCTCGTCGATGGGCACCTATTTTTTACTCGTATTTTCTCGAAAGTTATTTTAAAGACGCAGCTAACGTAACAATTAACAAGCAAAATTGGCTAGGTTAGCAAGCAAAGTAACGTATTAAGTTTTTTGAAATGTGACATACTAGAAGAACTCATTTAATAGTACAAATAATTGGGCGGTACTCTTAACAAAAACTATGACTTAACGGATAAAGATCCGAATAGAAAATGCTTGAGCTGCTTGGATAAATACAAAGAGGGTACTATTTAGCCACGATATTAATTTACCCTTATTTGAAAATATGGAGCTACCATCGTAGGGTGCGAATTTTGTGAAAAGACAAAGTGCCTGGTACTGAACCATTTTATCAAACAAACAAAAATTATAAACACCATATAAACAAATACTTTGGATGCATATAGTGTCATATAAAATACTAAGTGCTTCAGCTTATTATCTAGTGTAAGATAGGAAATAATGGAGTTTAATTGGTCGCAAAAATTTTTCGTTGGAGAATTTGCAGCAATGTATGGTACTTATACAGCAATAGTTTTCAGAAAGGCTGGAGATAAAGTCAAAAAGTGAAAGTGTAATTAAACCCCTACTGGTAATATACCTAACCTAACCTAACCTAAAGTCCAAACAGTGCTCATGATTACCAAGTTCGATAGGAGATGGTATGCTAAAAAGAAGAAATTTATGAATAGATAAAGACATAAATATATCAGAACAAAAACTAGAAAATATAACTGAGTGGTTATTAAATAAAAAAAAAGAATCAGAATAAAATATATACAGGGTGGTCCTTAAGTAATTGTACAAAAAGAAACAGTAGATTCTACACTTTAAAATATTACGATTTAAGCCAAATTGCTTTAATAAAATGTTAAATAAATGTTGATATTAAGAAGGTAATTTGCACTTTAACACCCTGTATCTTAATATCAACTATAAAAGTTGATATTAAGATACAGGGTGTTAAAGTGCAAATTTAAAATTTTATTTTTCGATATAACTTTCATGTTTGAAAACATTTATGTATAAAAATTTACAATTGGGTACTTTTAAATATGAGAAATTATATTGTTCTAAAGCTATTTTCTTGTGGCATTTTAAATTAATTACTATTTAACTGGAAATAATCCAGAATTAAAGATAAAAATACGTTTATTGACGTTTCAATTTCCACTTCGGAAATCCTTCTCAAAAATGCAAACAGTAAATTTACTGTTTGTATTATATTATTAATATTAATAAACGTATTTTAACCTTTAATTGTGGCTTATTCCCAGTTAAATAGTAATTATTAAGAAATTATAATTTGATGCTTCTAACTTACTGTTTGATGATGCTTTAAGTTACCTGTATCTGTGATAAATAATATTAAAGATACATTATTTTAACAAAAAAAGGTATACCTGTTAATACCTTTAAAACTCAACAGTTTTCGAGATAATCGCATTTTACAAATCAGCTGCATAATTCTGATTTAAGGGAATTACTTCAAGCAACGAAGGAAAAATAGACAAAAACATTAATACTTCTAAATTTTGGTATAAAATACCTTTAACTAAAAATAGTTAACGAAATATTAAATAAAATAAATTATTCAGCAGGATAATTAATAATAGGATTTAAAAAAAAAACAGAATAATAGGCTTTTACATGAAGCATTTTACATTTTATATTAAATTAAAATCATAATCAAAACATTTTACTTACAAACCAAATTAAGAAATAGTTTTTGTCAAAGTAAGTGTTTGATATGTCCATTATTTTCTTTAATTCATTTCTCAATATATTCCATAAAAGATAGGCTCATATTAAATAGCATCATTGGTTCTAAAGAAACTGCTGTAGTATTTATTTCTTCCCATAGTTGGTTGCGATTCTTTATGGAATTCTTATAGACACGTTGTTTTAATGCGCCCCATACACCAAAATCAAGCGGATTAAATTCTGGGCTACGTGGTGGTTATAATGTATAATAGATGAATATATTCTTTTGGATAGATATCCAAATCTTATTGTATATTATGGAACTACGTCTTATTTGTCGCAGAGGTATTAAATATATATTAATATTAAACATATTATTAAATATGGCGCAATGTATTAAACTGTGACGTATCTCGTTCATTGGTTGTTTATAAACACACGGACTAACCTATCGATGACATTACTTATTTATATGGTTACGTTATAGCTTACGAGTAACTATAATTACATCTCGAACAAATGGACTATTATGATTTACTAACGAACTAATATTATCCTGAACTAAATTGTCTGTGCGTTTACTGTATTTATAACAATATCGGTTATTAGGCCATCGATGATGTTTTTGTAAAAATACCGAGTCTTTAAGGTTAGATTTGAAGCAAAAGTATTATGAAACAAGACACATATGTGTTATTCAATACCTGTGCTTTAGTTTCTAATTGTCCTAATAAAAATTGGTAAACAATTTACGTAATGAATAATACGTATTCTTTTGGGGTTTTTATATGAATTAAATAATTATATCAATATCTTACTACATTGCCAAGGAATATGACTACCACGACCTATCCAACGTTCAGAGAAGTTGTATTTAAGTATGTTCTCACTGCCTTCTAGAATGTGGTAGTGTACCATTTTGCATAAACCATATATTTTGGGTTTTCAGCATTTTACAATAGAGAAAAAGTAATACAACGCCAGTATAGAAACTGTTAAGTTTCCAGTTAAGAAGCAATAAAAAAGGAAGATTGTAAACATGATGACGGCTAACGTCTGAATACGGACACGGCACCTAAAGAAGAAGATGAAGAATATTTTCTCCAATAAGACATTTAGCAGCCATAACAAAGCATTTTGTGATGTTACATTATCATATTTGAGTTGTGTAATAAGAATAAACTATGAATTATGCTTATCTACAGGTATTAAGTGCTTTACCGCACAAATATCACAACTAAGAATTATTATGCAGCTGACTTATAAAACGCGATTATCTCGAAAACGGTTGAATTTTGAGGTTACTAATAAGTATATCTTTTATTTGTAAAAATAATGTATCTTTAATATTTTTTAACACAAATAGAGAAAACTTAAAGAGCAAAAAAATTAAGCGCAAATTTATGCGCCACATATGTGGCGCCCTCTATCAGTTACATTAAAGTATGTATAAAATTATAATTGATCCTAATTAAAAGCATCCAATTGTAAATGTTTGTCCAAAAATATTTACACACGTAAACACCCTGTATCTTTCTTAATATCAACATTTTATTAAAGCAAGTTGGCTTAAATCGTAATATTTTAAAGTGAAAAATCTATGGTTTCTGTTTGTACAATTACTAAAGGACCACCCTGTATATTGTGGCCAAGGCTAACAGGAGACAAATCTTTAAAAATCCTTGGATATCTGCGAAAAATGTGGAGTAAGAAAAACCGTATTATTGCTTATTACGCAAAAAAGAGAAGAAAATAATTTTTATCCACATAATTTCTAGTTACCTGTCATTTACCTACTAAATTGTTTCCATTATTTTATTAATTTACTTTTAAATTATTTTTATAAATTTTATTTAAAAAATGAAAAGAAATTAATTCTTAAACCTAGTTTTGTTACATGACACGATTTAAAAAATATTTATTTTTGTAATAAATATGTTTTATTCCAGCTAATGGTTACTGGATTAATTTTATATCTAATTATTATGTTGAAAGTACCTTCTGCTATTGAAACAATAAAAAAAAATCCTAAGTGGTACGGTAACTTGGAGTATGTCAATGATCTTGAACAAAAACGAACCAACATTCTTGCTATTGCCTTATGTTTAATATATTTAAAGGCGTTTAAATTTTTGAACTTTAACAGAACTATGGGACAGCTAAATAATACATTGAATAGGGTAAGTAACGGTTTATATTTTTTTAAAATAGGATATATATTTTAAAATAGCTATAGGTATTCGAGTTGCTCTAGTGACATCTGTCAAATAAACGTCAAAGTGTAAATACGAATTTAATAGTTCTCCGCACTTTTAAAGTTTAATTTCAGATAGTTTAACATATAATCTTAAGTTAATTTATACATTTTAAAGTTCTCCGCGAATCTTTGTGATTTAGGAAGTGCTAAACAGTTAGATTTGATTACCACAGTTTAATACATATACATTAGTACTAGTTTAGTCGTCGAAGGCTCCATTTATGGAGTCTTCTAACGGGGGCGAGCCCCCCGATAAAATACCAAGGGATCAGGATGCGATGGATGATTGCAGTTATGGTTCCCATGGATTTTTATCCCATCAGCTAGAAAACTCGATAAGTAGTCCTAATAATATTATTAATTTAAAAACCGATAAACAAATTACCTCACTAAATTCTAATGAGACAGAAAAAAGCAGACCTGTATATTTATATGAAAAAACTGATTTAGGGCCATTTCATATTTTTATTGAAAACAGTGATAAAAATTTTACAGGCAAATTAAGTGCAGTTAAGATAGGTGAAATATTATTTACCGTACATCCGGAAATTGATAATTATATTAAAAAAATTGATTCAATTGGACGCAACCGTATTAGAATAACATTTAAAAACTATGCTAGTGCAAATACCTTAATTACTTCTAAATTGCTTATTCAAAAAAATCTAATTGCATATATTCCGAAATTTCAATTATTTAAATTAGGTGTAGTTAGGGATATAGAATCAGATATATCGGAAGAATATCTTAAGGATAAAATAAAAGAATTTGATCATCATTGTAAATTCTCGGTGGATTATGTAAAAAGAATAAAGAGAAAAATAGTAACAGATGATAAAGTAGTTTTTAAACCTACAAAATCGGTAATTGTGTCATTTAAATGTCAAAATATACCAAAATATATCGTAATTAACCATGTTTTACATAATGTAGAAAAATACCAGCAAAAAGTAATTATTTGCTACAACTGTTATAGGTATGGACACATGAGTAAGCAATGTAAAAGCAACCCTAGATGTCTTAAATGTCATGAGTCCCACCCTTCCGATTCTTGTTCTTTATCATCTTTTAATAAAACATGTCTCTCCTGTGAAGGTAAACACTTCACTAACGAATGGGAGTTATGTCCAGAATTTGACCGTCAAAAAAAAATAAAACATTACATGTCTGAAAACAGCTTGTCTTTCAAAGAAACGCTTAAATTATTTCCTAAAGTAACCTATGCATCAATAACAGCTAATAATTCCTCAATAAATTCACATCAAATCCCAAATATGAACGCTCCTTCCTTTTCATATTCCTCTACTCAATTGTCCACTTCCCCCTCACCCCCTAACCAGCACGCCCACCCTACAGTTTCAAACAGATATACAATAACAAAACCTCCAAAATCCAAACGACCCCTCTCTTCATCGCAAGACCCAATAGCAATAGAACATCAAAAAATAATAAAGTTAAACCCCATGTCCAACAGACCTGGTGGCATTTTCAATTCGTCTTCTTATCAATCTACATTTAATGCAGAACAAGGATCCAAAATACATGAATCTCCTAAAGAATTAACAGAGTTAATATCAAATATAGTTATAAGTATTATTTCTAATATGAATCACAAAAATTTTGAAATCCCAGAAAAATCAGTTTTAATAAATTTAATTCAAACAGTTTTAAGTTCTCTCTCATATAATAATGAATAGTTTGGTAATTTGTCAATGGAATTGTAGATCGGCTAACTCTAATAGAGAAAATCTCCTTCACCTACTAGAAGACCAGAAAGTTGATATCGCATTATTATCAGAAACTAGATTTAAACCAGAAAATTATATTAACTTTCACGGATATAATATTGTCAGAGACGACCGCTTTTCAGCAACTGTCGGTGGTGGCTCGGCAATTTTAATAAACTCAAATCTGTATTATGAGGAAGTCACCATGAAAGTCAAATTATTCAACATCAATAAAGTAGCCATTAAAATTAAGTTTAAATCATTCACTGTAACATTTATTTCGATGTATGTTCCCCCAGGAGTAAAATTATCGTTACAACAATGGAACAATTTCATAACATCTATAGAAAGACCATTCATAATAGGAGGCGACTTCAATGCTCATCACATTGCCTGGGGCTTAGACAATCATACAGATATAAAAGGCAAAATCTTAATGGACTGTATAGATGATAATAATTTGATATACAAAAACGATGGCTCTCCTACTTTCTTTAGGAACTTTTCGAAATCGGCAATAGATCTGACGATTTGTACTCCTGACTTAAGTCATCTGATCACTTGGAAAACACTTCAAGACCTATTCGGTTCAGACCATGCTCCTATAAGGATGGAATTAGCGGATCAACCAACTCATATATATAACCCGTATTCAGAAAAGTGGAATTTAAAGAAAGCCGACTGGAAATTATATGAACAATTTTCGGAAGATATCTTCTCTCAATCTGAAGATATAAATTCATATGAAAAATTTTTGCACAATATAAATATAACTGCATCCTACAGCATCCCCAAATTTAAAATAAAAAAACCAACTTCCAGAGGAAAATACTGGTGGGATTTAGAATGTGAGGAAGCAGTCAGAAGAAGACGGGAAAGTTTTTGTATATTCAAAGATAATCCAAACCAAGAAAACCTACTCAAGTATAAAAAAGATGATGCCCACGCGAAGAAGATCACTAAACAAGCTAAAAGAAATAGCTGGAGAGATTATGTCAAGTCCTTAAATAGGTCGGTTCCCATTAAAGATGTATGGTCAAAAGTTAATAGACTAAAAAATAGAAAAACTAAGAACAAAGTCCCTATAATATTGTCGGAAGCTTCATGGATAGACGAGTTCCACCAAAATATCACTCCACTGTCTGCAGAATTAGTAATTCCTGATCTACAACTGAATGCGCAATACGATTATCCAGAACAAATCCGCTTCTTAATCAAACCATTTTCTGACACTGAACTTTACTTTTCGTTAAAGAAAAATTCAAATTCAGCACCAGGTGCTGATGAAATCCATTACTCGATGCTATCAAATCTTTCAAAAATTGGTAAGACTGTGCTTCTGAATATATACAATGAAATTTGGTCACGGCGCATAAAGATTCCTGACGATTGGCACGTTTATACTATTCTTCCGATCTTGAAACCCGGAAAATCGTTAAATAATTGGGATTCTTACCGTCCAATAGGGCTGGCGTCATGTATACTTAAAACATATGAAAGACTTATTAAAAACCGTCTGGAATTTTGGTTAGAAAAGAACGACCTATTACCAAAAACTCAGTTTGGTTTTAGAAAAGGTAAATCCACACAAGAAAGCCTGAGTCACTTATTGATAGACATTTATAGTTCATTTACTTGTAAGAAAGCAGTTAGTGCTTTGTTTTTAGATATAAAAGGGGCTTATGACAATGTTAATCTTCACATTCTATATGCGAAAATGTTGGAAATAGGAATACCTGAAACTGTAACATGGAATATCATTAATTTGTATATTAATCGATCAGTACACGTTAGATTAAATGGTGATAAATCTAACACACGGTACACATCTTTAGGACTACCACAAGGTAGCATCTTGAGTCCTCTATTATATATTCTGTATACTGCTGATTTAGAAAATAAACTTCCTCGACACATAAAAATCTTACAGTATGCTGATGATGTTGCAATCTATGTAGAAAATAAGTCAATAGATAAATGTAATGAAAACCTTAAATCAGGATTGAATATTATAAAAAAATGGGCGGCGGATAAGAATTTAACAATCTCGGAGAGTAAATCAACCATTGTTACTTTTACCAGAAAACGTTATTCTCCCCCAAACCACCTACAATTTGATAATTATAAAATTAATTATAAAACTTCAATAAAATTCCTTGGCGTGTTCTTAGACTCAAAATTGAATTGGAAAGAACACACAAATTATATATTAAGAAGAACGGAAAACGCAATGAATATCATCAAGACTGTAAATGTCAGTAACTGGGGAGCTGATCCAAACATCTCAATATTACTATACAGAAATTTAATGAGATCGATCCTAGATTACGGATCTATATTTTATGGCTCAGCATCAAACGCTGTACTCCAAAAAATCGAAAGTATAAAAAATAAGGCACTTTTTGCCTTATTTTTTATAAAATTTTTTGTAGAAAATTATATCATCAGTGACATTATATGTACATAAACTGAAATATAATTTACATACTTTTGTAGAAAATTATATCATCAGTGACATTATAGCACTGAACAGTGAAGCTTTGAAATCGGGCAAAAATATCATATTGTGCTGGATAAAAGCACATATTGGTATAAAAAACAACGAAATAGTAGATGATCTGGCAAAAAAAGCAACAATGAAAGAATCCACTCTTCAAACCTATCAACTTCTTATGGGAGATTTAATATCTGTAATCAGGTCTCTCAAACAGACCAAATGGCAGGGACACTACAACAATTCGGACAAAGGCAAATTTTATAAAATAATCCAACCCAAAATTTCCGTCAAGACATGGTTTAAACAAGTTTCCAACAGAGGCTTCATTAAAACTATTTGTAGAATAAGAAGCAATCATTGTATGACTCCAGTCTACAAAAGAAAAATGGGACTGGCAAATAATAATGAATGTATATGTGGAGAGCTAGCTGATCTACAACATATGCTGTTAGAATGTCCTTTACATTTTATTGAAATATCAAATTTTTTTACCAAGCTAGTTCAAGTTAATGTTCAATTACCTTGTAATCTAACATATCTTTTAGAGTCAAAGAATCTAGATGTATATAAAATTTTATATAGTCATATTAATTGTTTAAAATTAAAGCTCTGATAAAAAAAATAATAAAGAATAAAAAAAAATGAAGAACAAAATAAAAAAAATACTAAGAAGATCTAAACCTCCGAGGTGTCGAATCG